TATACATTCGAAATATTTGTTAATCAATCGACCAGTCATCTGCTATTTTTTATACACACGCAATTTATTTCAATGGTTAAATGGTTAAATGTCGATTTGACTTGATAAATTCAATGATACAATTAAATTTAATATAAATAGAATTTTGATCCTACGAATTGACAATTAAACGAATATGTATTAATTATAATTTACATAAAAGACAATAGACCTCTAGCTTTTTTGATCGTCGGAATAATCAAGAGTTTGATTTGTCTGGAATTGGATGAGATTATGTACGACTCACTTTCGACTCATCAAACTCCTGATTATTCCGACGATCAAAAAAACTAGAGGTCTATTGTGTATCTTTTATGTAAATTATAATTAGTACATATTCGTTTAATTGTCAGTTCGTAGGATCAAAATTCTATTTATATTGTTAAATTTAATTGTATCATTGAATTTAATTATATCATTGAATTTATCAAGTCAAATCGACATTTAACCATTGAAATAAATTGCGTGTGTATAAAAAATAGCAGATGACTGATCGATTGATTAACGAATATTTCGGATATATTTTGCTCGCATTCGTGGATTGTGACGTGCGTCATTACAATTAAACGACGCGAGGACATTAAGAACGGAAACGAATCGTAGAAAGGCACGCGTTTTTTTTTAGTATCTAATCGTTCACGCAACACGCTCTGTTTATCTATGATAAATTAGCCTCATTTTGGCGACGGTTTTCAGGCTAATTATTGTAAGCATTTTCCGAAAATGTATCTGTTTCCGCGGTTGAATGTGCCATGCAATGTGTCATGTGCTCAATCATTCGTAACTATATCTGGATCCGGAAATTTGCAGGTCACACGCTGCAACATAACATAATCATTTCATATTTTCCATATACCTCTCTTCAACAACAACAACAACAGTAATAATAATAGTAGTAGTAGTAGTAGTAGTAGTAGTAGTAGTAGTAGTAGTAGTAGTAGTAGTAGTAGTAGTAGTAGTAATAATAATAATAATAATAATAATAATAATAATAATAATGAAAATAATAATAATGCCTTATTAATTAAACCTTTGTCAGTTAAGATTTTGATTAAGTATACTTATAGTGTCAAATTAATTAAGGGATAATTCAAAATTCGAACATAACACAATTATTCAACAAAAAATGACTCTTTTTGGACAGAAAAACGAGATTTATAATCATTTCCCATAGTTTTAATCACTTTTAGATGCTGAATCTAGTTGTAGAATTTATTATCACGAACGTCATAATTTCAAGAAATTTGCAATTAAAATTATAAAGAATATTTCTATATATTTTCTATTTTTATAATCAAATATGATATTCATGTATTTTGTCATGATGTAAGAATATAGAGTGTTTTAATGCGCACGATGGAATTATGAATTCGAAGCAGCCATTCAAAATTTAGTTTCAAATGTAACGCGACTGCGCAACATAATCGTATTCATAGCATCGTGTAGATAATAGAACAAAAAGAAGGAGATCAAACTCAAATGATCGATCATGAAAAAGTTGGGCTCAATTTCTGGCTTCGGAAAAGCTCTATACGGAAGAATAGAGATCCTCTATCTAATTGGGGGGTCGATTCTGTATTTTCAACAAAATGTAAAAATTACAAAAATAAACAAATTTACTAGGTGTTGACTAATGAAATTATCAGTATTCTAGTAAATTCGCTCACTTTTGTAATTTTTATCTCATTTCAAGATACAGAATCGATCCCCAGAGTCTGATCTGAAGTGACCGTCATTTTTTATCGAAATTGTATATTTTGTATTCTTAAGCCCGATATCCACGATGCTAGAAATCAGTCCGAGATCTCGGATAGAGAAAAAAATTAACAAATCGCATTTAAACAATTTGATGATTGCTATTGGTCAATTCTTTCTTCATCCGAAGTCTTGGATCAATTTCTAGCATCGTGGACATAAGGCTTTACATCATGGTTACAACATTGTAGATATTAGGGCTCGTATTCAGAACGCGCTTTTATCTCTAAAATTCTATAGTGCTTAACGTAAATTATAGCTTATTAACGCGTTATCATTGTAATATATAATGTATAATTATTACGGTGCGAGATTTTCACAAATCTTGCAGCATTGTTACAAAGCCATTAACATTTTGGCTTTTGTGGAATGAATTACTGTCACATATGTGAAACATATAAGAAGCGGTGCTCTTGCAAACAGTTTTATTACACACATCGTTCACATCGATCGTTTCTAGTATTTTTTTACTGCTTTATGAGATTATATTATTTTAATTATATTATTTAATTATATTATTTAATTATATTATTTAAATTAGCCAATTACCAATGTGGGCAAATGATATACACCCGAAATATATGTCAATTATGTTATGTTATATAATTAATTATTTTCATTAATTTAGAAATTATAATGTTCATTGAAACATTTATTGTCGCTCAACAAGATTTTTCAAACTTTATGATCAATTCTCATAATTTTTTTGGAATATTTGGATTTAAAAAATTCTTTGAATATTGCAAAGAAAATTTAAAATAAAATAATATTAGGTGTACAACTTTGCTTCCGCCGATTTTTTTATGAAATTCGAGGCTTTATTGTAAAAAACTGGTTATACATTTATGATTCAAAGTATTGTTCATCGCTGGCCACTACTTTCTCCCATCTTTCGGGTAGCGTACGAATCCCGCGTCGAAAAAACTGGTCATTTTTTGAGGCTATCCACGAATCAATCCAATTTTTTACTTCTTCATAAGACCGGAAGTGCTGGTCAGCCAGGCCGTGTGCCATTGATCGAAACAAGTGATAGTCAGAGGGAGCAACGTCTGGAGAATACGGCTGGGGGGGAGGACTTCCCATTTCAACGTTTCCAAGTATGTCTTGACCACTTTCGCAACATGGGGGCGAGCATTGTCATGCTGCAAAATCACTTTATCGTGTCTCTCGTTGTATTGCGGCCGTTTGTCTTTCAATGCTCGGCTCAAACGCATCAATTGCGTTCGATACCAATCGCCTGTGATTGTTTCAGTCAGTTTTAACAGTTCATAATACACTACGCCGAGCTGGTCCTACCAAATACAGAGCATGACCTTGGACGTCAAAATCACCAGCTTGAAGCGTTGAACGCACTCACGACACGTTCTTTCACTAATAGCGGTCTCACCATAAGTATTTGAGAGCATTTGATGAGCCTCAGCCGCAGATTTCTTCATATTGAAATAAAAAATTAAAACCTCCCGCAAATAACGAGAATTTGGTTCGTAAACTGACATTTTCAATCGAGAATAACTTTATGATGCAGACACAAATCG